GGATTGGTAATTTTTCTACGAAGCTGCTAAAATGAATACTTTATCAATTTTTAATAGTATAATGAGAGAGAAGGATTAGTAATTTCCATTTAATTCCACTACCTTATTTGCTTATACTTGACAGATACGCGTATTTCGTCTACAATGTGCAGACTTCTTCAGTGTCTTGTACTAATACTCGACTGAAGAAAAACATCGCATTTACCGAATATATATTAACACAGGTACATTTTCACTTAGAAACTAGGTAAACTTAAATTAAATTTCCTGTAGGAACAGGTACTCCGCTGCTTACTCGTTGATGTGTCCTAGGTAGTAACTTGAAAAGCCATGTGTGTCCGTTTCCTTGATCCCTGTTGAGTAAAGTTGAATTATGTTGTTTGTTGATCTCGAGGCTCTTGCAACATCCAGTTTCCATGGTGTAGATACGGTTCGTAAAATCGTGATGTCCTCCGTCGATAGTTGGTGGTCCTCTGTGAAGATGTGTTCTGCAACCTTTGATTTGAAATCATATGTTAGGCCTTTTTCCTCTTGCTTTTTGGCCTTATTAACCTCCGCTATATGTTCTTAAATCTAGTTGCTAAAGTTCTCTTGGTTTGTCCTACATATACTTTGTTACAATGATTACAGCTTATTTTATATACGCCTGCTTTACCTAAAACATTAACTGGGTCTTTAATGGATCGTAACAATGATTTCAACTGATTATGTCTACTGGTGAAAACTAAATCTAATCCGAATTGTTTTAACTGTGGTATTAGCTTACAAGTAATATGTTGATCAAATGTAACGGACACTCGTTTCAATGGTTCAGGGTTGTAAATAATCTCTTTTGTAGAATTCTCGCTTTTTTATCGATGATTGCCTGGATTGTGGTCTCCTTGTATCCGTTGAGTCTTGCTGTTTCGAAGATGTACTGTAATTCCTTAACCTTTCCTGTATCGCTGAGTGGAAGAGTCTGGATTCGATGAATCATGTGGTGAAAGGCGGCCATTTTCTGCTGGAACGCACAGCTCTTTTTCCCAGCGTACCGGTCAAGGAAGCGATCAAAAGTCAAAAGGTACAACACAATAAACACTTCATCTTCCGCTGTCCAATAAACCACCTCCATCAGAACGGGATCCGCTTCCAGTGGTTTCATTGCATGGCAGTATCACCAACGAGGGGCAGACCGCATCAATTGACAATGCAATGGACGCAAAACGTGGTCATCACTCACACACTTATCACTAAACGGTTGTTTTCCAAAAGCAACCCCGCATAAGAAATAACCATAAGAAGCGCCTAACCACCAATTCGGGATATCATCCCAACTTTATGTGCGATAGTCGTACCATCTATGATATCGTTAGAGTATGGTACCCGTTTATTAGGGACGTCGCATCGACTGAGAGAACTGCTGATGAAGAACAATGAGGAGGACCACACAATGGTTGCTGCCGAGTAAGCAGACGATCGCGTGACACACATCGAAAGTGGCCTGCTTCTGTCGACAGCCGAGTGAACAGTGAAAAATTATATTTAATTACCTTCCATTTTGATATTTTGATCTTTGAAATCGGTCCAATGGTTCAAATTTTATAAAATAAAAATGAATTGTTTGGAACACTCTGAAATGGAAATAGTCATCCTAATGACAAAATAAAATAAAATTGGTCTAATATTTTGCGATAAGGAACAAAACTACAATTTTTTACGAAATTCAGAAAACCACTAGGGGAATTTACGTATTCTCGGCAACCTAAGCAGCGACCTTCTTTCTATAGCCTTTTTCTCTATGGAACGCACACATATGCAGTATTGGTTTGTTTACAATCTTTTGCTGCAAGCTGCTCTAACAATTTCAGTCGAAAGAATTGTCAAAAACTGTTTTGAAACGCTTTAACAAAGCTCCAATCTTCTCTAGTGAGAGCGAGTATTGTCGGCAACCAGTTTTTCTTCGGCAACCGTTCCATTTGAACTGCATGTAAATCTGTTGTTCTATTATCGGCAACTCGAAATCAGCTACAATTTGTAGTGCGTGTGTTTTATTTCAAGAAAACCCTGCTAGATTGCTTTTTCTCAGTGGTAAAAATATAGTCAAATTGAAGCTGAAAGCATAAAGAATCGTTTGCACGCATTCAGCGAAGTGTTTTCGTAAGAAAATCCAGTGAAAATAGTTTTTCAATTTGGGTTATCGAAAATAGTCTGTCATGCCGAAGCCGTCATTTCCCCTATATTGTTTTACTATAGAATTGCTGATAATTGAAACGGTTTCGTTTTACTATAGAATTGCGGTATCGTTTTACTAAAGAATTGCTGATAATGGAAACGGTTCACGGTTGTGCAATAAGCAATGAAGCATGGATTCCTCTGATTTGAATTTGGTAAACATAGATTTTTCCTCCGCTATACGGTATGTAGCGATCATCTGAGTGGGATTCACGTCCAACGGTTTCACAAAGGTCGCAATTTCGTCCATTGAAGGTCTTTTACAGCTAGCTGTGAAGCTGAATCTAACAGTCAGTTTTATTTCCACGAAAGAACTTCACACAATGAGCAAGCACCGCAACAATAGTTGCTATAGACTAACAGGCTATTGCTTGACCCGGACAGAAAAAAACACACAGCTGCCTGTGTCGACAGCAAAGAGAGCACTGAAGGAAAAATACTTTACAAATTGCTTGCCAAACTTGAATCTTTCAAATTTTAGGATTATGGGGGAGTACACTTTGACTTTTCAAAAAAAAAATGCATTTTTTTTTGGCTTAAAATGTTCCTTGAGATGTATACTTTAATTTAGAAAAGACTCCAAGTCAACCAGAATATTCCTTATCGCTTTACGAAGTGATTTCCTAAAACATGTACCGGCGCGCTGAGAGAGCAATTTTATATTTAAACGCGTTTATCTCGAAACGGGGTTTTTCAAACTGGCGTGAGAAATAACTCTAACCAGTTATCATCAAATTTGGATATCGCCTAGGTTTTCTTGTTCAGAATTAAATTCTGCTTAGAAATACGTATCCACAATACGATTTTGTCAAAAATGGATTTTTAATCCACGATTTTGTAAGCATTTTTAGGGTGAAAAATGGACTTTTTTTTCCTAAGGCCACAACTTTTGAAAAAATTAATTTAAAAAAAAATCGGAATACGTATTTCTAACCCAAATTTCATTACTAATCAGGATTTTTGTTCGATTTATGTTCCAGGATCACATGGAAATGAGTATTTTCCCACGCCGTTTTCCGACTTCCGCGCGAGGACGCCCGCGCGACCTGGTGCACCGGCCACGGGGAGACGCCAATCGAGTTCAAAAAAATACTAATTGTAGTTCGAAGGATGACTAATAAATGGGTTATAACATATTTGCCCTCCCTGAGTGTTTTATTGCTTAAAAAAATTAACGAAAATGCCTTACTTTTTGGACGTTCAAAGTGTACTACCCCCTTAAATATTCATGCAACGCACTCGTATAGGCTTTATGTTGTAACTTATGAGCTAACGCATCGAAACAAACGTAGTATTGATTTGTGTACGGTGAAATCATTGATATTATTGATGATTTCTGCTCGATAGAATGGAATTGGGCGGAATTCGGATCAGAAAGTGGCTCCACTTTTCATTGGTGAACACTAGCGAACCTAGCGGTAGAAGGCATCTTCTACCTGCAGTTAAGATAGGCAGCATGCTATGATAGTATGACAACATTGATTTGGGTCGTCATCATTTAAAATTAATCCGAAATTTAACGACTTTATTTGTGGTATTTGCATTCGTTGGCAAAATAGTGAAACTTTGATTAAATGCAACTTTACTCAAGCCACCATTAAATAGCTCATTATATGATCGAGGTAGGACAATTCTTCAGCTGTCAGTTAGGGTGACCCTATAAAAACAAGTATTTTGTTCAAAATTTTGTGTTTGAATTTTTTGGGAAAGCCTTTGACTTGTAAACTGTGTAAGATATCAATGTTTGTGAGCATCCCCTTATAATACCTCGAATAATCAAGAACCTTGAAACTAGTTCAACTATATAATGATTTCATATCAAGATTGTAGATTGTGGAAAATCCACAGTTAACCTTGCAATTTCAATCTTATCAAAAATGGAAGCTCTTATTATCAGATCTGTATTGAACTCGTCCTCAACTATGCTACTGCTGAAATACTACAAAACCTAGTCTGGTCTAGCATTATCAAGACATAATTCCCTGTAGTTACAGCTTATTTTGTACCCTAAGTATCATTATTTCGTCTTTCAATATCATTCAGTACCAATGTTCAAGACGATGGTTCTTACAACTGAATCAATAGTTAGTTCTCATTTCAATTTTCTTACCAGGAACAAATTTTGATTAATGAATCCTGAAACTAACCAATAAAGTACCGTAAAATGGGGTAACATTGATAGTTTTTTAAAGTATATTCTAAATAATTTTTACAGCAATGAGTATTTTTCAATTTTTATATTTTTAAAACAAGTACTGAGGCCAATTCGTTAGTAATATGTTTAACGGAAATTAAAGCCTTTGTATTATTTTTTTAGTTTTGTGACCGAACTTAAGTTTTTTTAATTTGGGGCTACTTTGATAATGCTCGATGAATGTAGAAAAAAAATAGGTGAAACTCAAACAATTTAGTTCTTTAAATATGAAACTTTGAGAAAACATCATAAGCAATAAAAATACAAAAATGCTTTATCGGAAATACATTTCATAAGTGATGGTTTGAGTGCTTTTTTCAAACAGACGAAAAATACGAAAATTGTTTTTTTAATATGTTTTTAAAGTATGTAATACATACTATATTAAAACTACATACGATATCAACGGAAATACCCTAAGCTACAATATGGAACCAATGTTTTTAATCAAAGTTACCCGCATTATCAAAGATACCCCGTTTTACGGTACTTCTTACAATAAAGAGAAGGTAAGATAAAAGAATGTGGTAAAACGAACCAAATGTAAAATTATCAGCCTAAAATCTGTATGTAGCCCCTATGAATGCACAATATCTTGTGCGTCTCATAACGTAATAGATGTTTATTAAACAAACAAATAAAAATCACAATTAAGCTTCAATGATCACATCGGAGTGGGCCTGGATCCATTGCAGGAACGAGGACGTCCGGGCAAACACGGATGGCCAGTTGAGTTCGCACCCCAGAGCCAAACCGAACGAAACGACACCAACCTGGACAGTCTTTCCATCACGGCTAATGGTCATTGGGCCACCGGAGTCACCCTATAAAAAAAAAATACAGGAAAAAATTAATCAATCTTACTCGTTCGAAATCGAAATTCAATTAACTTACGCTGCAGGCACCACGTCCATTTTCACCGGCCAGACAGATGTTTTCCGGTTGAATCAGTCCCAGGAATCGGATGTTGCAGGCCGTGTTGGTCTGAATAAGATTGGTCACATACCGTAGCACATCCGAGGCAGCGTTGACATCATCAGAGAAGCGTCCGAAACCGGAAACGGTACCAGTCACACCGGCGAAGTCGTTCTCAACATCACTCCAAGTTGGCAAAGACACAGGCTGGATACGGTCGCTGAACTGAACCGGGGTGGACATGCGAACGGTGGCGATATCGTAGCGGATCAACGATGGATCCCAGCTTTCGTGGTAGTACACTCCGGCGGCCGTGAATGGGATGCGGACCTGACCGGGTTCGTTAGCATTGGTACGATCTTGAGCACCGAGGATGATAGTACCACCGCTAGCCTGATCAACGCAGTGGGCAGCAGTAAGGATAAAGTTCTGCGACAGAACGGAACCACCGCAAAGAGCACCACCCTCGGGGAAGTTGGCAATCATCACAATCTGATATGGGAACTGACCGGGTGTGGCAACGTATCCTCCAACGATTCTACCATCCGGGCGTTGTTTCGGCAGATCCTTGATCTCGCTAACCATCTGCTTCATGAGCTCCTTTGGAAGGCGCTTCCAGTAACGTGGCATACGCCATGCCGGACGGAGCTTGTGCCAATTGATCACATCGTCAGCGGCCACGAGGGCTGCCAGGGCCAGCACTAACACCAAACTAAATTTCATATTTCACTTCGGTACGTTCGGACGGATCTGAAAGACTAAGGTACGCGCAGTCGCTCCGGGACGTATAAATAAGCTAGCTTATCGAACGATAAGGACTACAGGGAATGATAATCTAGAGCGAGTACTCAACGGCAGGATTGGCTGTGACGTGAACATGGATGGTTTATCTGGTACGTTTTTCACTACTGATGCTGATAATTTGGTGGTTATCGAGACCTACGGTTTATGGGTGCAATAAATTTAAAAATTGGATTGCAAAACAAACGATAAATTCAACTATGGACAGACGATTGTTCGTGTATTTCAGTAGAACTTTTTGGCTGGTTTAGGTTTCACTTAAAAGTAGACAATTTTTCAAACATTCATTTAATGCAGTTCATGCCAATGGCCAGAATCATTTTTTTTATCAGGAGGGGAAGAAGTATATGTTTTGATTTTTATAGAGCATTTTCCAGTAGTTTCCACGATGATATCGAATTCCCAGTTTTTTTTCATTCGGATTTTGCGATACATCACTGTACAAAAAACATATTTTTCTATGACAGATTGTTGTCTATCAATGGGTATATTATTCCGAGAGTCGTGGCGAAGTGAGTCTCCATTTGATTTGCACAGAGAGTCACGTAACCACGATTGTTGTTACCTCACTAGTAACAGAGAGCAATGCTGCAAAATCTCTAAAACAATTCATGGTGATATTCAAAATTCTGCTTTGGTCACTCATTTGAGCTAACAGTCATCGCCAAGGCAAACCATGTCAATTGTCAGTGACAATGCTGTCAGTGACGAATATGATCAGATTTTTTTAATAGCTATATTTGTAACGAAATTAATTGATAAGAGCAAAAAAATTGCATGGAGCCGTTAAAGTGAACAAGCATCCGAACTGCTGGATAACAATTATGTGACATAGATTGCACGAAATTAAACGTTTTGTTGCCAGGTAAATCTTTGTCATTGACGAAAAAATGAATGCGATTTTGACAAAGGTTTTTTTGAGGATCAATTTTATCAGTGATAAACAATTTTGTCAATATGGCGCAAAAGTCTATCAATGGCAATGACAAATCTCAGCACTGACAGAGAGTCACTTTGACTCTGCACTGAACTAACGAGAAACGTAAATTTCACCTGAAAAATCAGGTAACCTTTCAAAAATAGAAATCCAATAAGAATTACATGCTGCACATAAATATCAATGGCATGGTAATGAATTCCACTAGATTCACTGATGGAGTTCAAGTGTTATACAGATAAATGTTAAGTGAAGTTCACGTAAATTTTAAGTGACCTCGTGATGTGAAAACTGTTTTTGCGTATTTGTTAGTTCAAAATGGCGCCGGTTGAAAATATGTGATTTTTGTTACTAGGAGATTGGGGATTTTTAATGTTTGTGAGCGTAAGTTTGATTAATATCAATATATGAATCCTGATTTTCAATACCCAAAATAAATTGAAGAGCGTAAAATCGGATTGAGCAGTCCTCACAAGCTTAATCGCCAAACTACAGGAGTGCTTACAACAAAAAGACGTCTATTGGAGACATGATGTCCTTTTCAAAGTCATCAGTTAATGGAGGAAAATAAATGTGAGGATCAAACTTAATGTTTTAAATAAACCAATAACCAACTTTAACTTTATTCAGAAGCAGCAATTATTATAGAGCATTGAGGAGCAAACAAATGCAGAACGATCAACTTAACAACAACCTGTTGCACTGGGTATAGATTTAAGAATAGGTTTGATACTCACGATAGTTACTAAAAAGAACAATTTTATGTTGATTATAATAAAGTAAAAATTCAACAAATAAGTTAAATTTTATTAAAAAAAAATCCGGATGACATAACACATGAAACATACCACAAATTCACATAAATATTACTACAAAATCCAGTGACGATTAATAAACAATTCACGTAACTTTTAAGTGAAGCTAATTTGATGATCATCGGAACGTCCGATAAAATTTACGTGAAAATCACTTGATTTTCATATGAATCACTTGAAACAACATTTCATTCCAAAAACACGTAATATTCACCTGATAAGTACGATGGAAAATATTTACGTACCTTTTCAGGTGAATATTACATGAATTTTATTTGCAGTGTGGGAATAATCCCTAATGTCACAAACAACCAGACGTAACACTTTGAATAAATATTTCTTGAAAATGTTGCACCTAAAAAAATAGGACCTCAGTAACGACATCTCTCGAGCTTCTCGTGGAACACAAGCTAGCTCCTGATGAATGTGGGCGTCTTAGTGAAATACCTGTATAATGAGAGAGAGAAGGATTAGTAATTTCCATTTAATTCCACTACCTTATTTGCTTATCCCTGACAGATACGCGTATTTCGTCTACAATGTGCAGACTTCTTCAGTGTCTTGTCGAGTATTAGTACAAGACACTGAAGAAGTCTGCACATTGTAGACGAAATACGCGTATCTGTCAAGGATAAGCAAATAAGGTAGTGGAATTAAATGGAAATTACTAATCCTTCTCTCTCTCTCAAGCTAGCTCACTAAGTCGTAAACAATGTTGCATGCAAGGTAAACAGAATGTATAGAATCGTCAAAGTGATCCGATCCCAGCGCTGTGATGAGTAGTTCGCAGAAATGATAATATTCAAATCAGATTGAATGCGTGAACGATGATCCAGAATGAAGAGCTACGTCTGTTTGTCTATGCTAATGTGTTTGTGCCGCCTATCTACTTAGTTTACGAGCAGCTTCCGAGTCACCCTCTAATGACGGTAAGCTCCATCTTGGATAAACTTTTAATAATGGTAAGGTAATGGTAGAATCTTCCAAATGTTTGTTTAAGACCATATTGATCAACACCGACATCAAAATCGTCGTTTACGGGAATCCAATCCCATTCTACCCAGGATCAAAGGTCTCCCCAAAGTGCACAAACCGGGGAAAGAAATGCGAGAAATCGTGTCTGCAGTTGGTTCCCCCACCCACAAACTAGCGAAGTGGCTAGTCACAGAGTTCACAGAGAATGCCGAATCAGTTCCAGAGTAAAGCAGTTAGTAACACCCAGGAGTTCGCCCAGCAACTACAATCTTCTGGAGACATCAACGAGGAGGAGATTATGGTATCTTCCGACGTCACAGCTCTTTTTCCCAGCGTACCAGTCAAGGAAGCGATCAACCATTTGGAGGACTGGCTATTAACACAACGAGAGGATGCAGCATGGAGAAACAAGGTTCGGACGTACCCTCAGCTGACCCGCCTTTGTATGGAAGAGAACTACTTCTATTTCCGAGGTAACTTCTACAAACAGGCGAAAGGAGCCCCAATGGGAAACCCCGTATCCCCCTTCCTGTGTGAACTTTTCATGACCAACTTGGAGACAATCCTGAAGGAGAAAGGACTATTATCAAACCGTTGGTGGAGGTTTGTTGACGATATCTTTAGCGCAGTTAAACGGGAAGCGCTTCCACAAATTTTAAATGAAATCAACAGAATTTACAAGAATATTTTTTTACACGTAAAAACCCTCCGAATCACGATTAGAGCCGTATTTTCGGAGATAAGTCGATTTAAAGATTTTTAGCCGAATATTCACCTCAGGCGCCGTTGCACTCGTCTAAATCCGGAACCCGTTGAGCAAAAAATAAGCCATCTACCAGCGCAGAGAGTAGTTCCAGGAAGACCGTTCGAAGTCACCGAGGTGGATTACGCGGGCCCGGCCTACCTCAAACCGACCCACAACCGTGCACCTCCCATGAAAGCGTATATCTGCATCTTTGTATGCTTTACTACGAAGAGCGTACTTATCGAGCTTGTCAGTGACTTATCCACCCTCGGCTTTTTGAAAGCCCTCCGTCGTTTCATTACTAGACGCGGTAGGCCTTCTCACTTGCACTCTGATAACGGGGAAAACTTCGAAGGTGCGAAAAATTAAGTCATCGAACTGTACAGGATGCTACGAAACAGTAACGAGCAGCATAGAATCCAAGAAGTTTGTGTTGAAGAAGGAATAAAATGGCACCTTACTCCCCCGAAGGCTCCACATTTCGGTGGATTGTGGGAGGCGGCCAAAAAGCACTTGTATCGCACTTGTATACCAAACTGTCGTTAGAGGATATGGCAACGGTGCTATCGCAAATTGAATCGGTGATGATTTCTCGTTCACTACTTCGCATTACCGACGATCCGGACGACCTCGACGTTCTCACGCCTGTGCACTTTCTCATCGGTACCTCAGCGACAGCCTTACCCGTCCTAGGCATCAGCAAAGTTCCAGCAAATCGGGTCACTCACTACCAGCAGCTCCAGATGCACGTCCAACAATTCGGGGTACGTTGGCGCGGCGAATATTTGCACGAACTTCAGCGAGATTCCAAGCACCACAGTCGAAACGGAGAAATTTTCAGAGACGATTTCAGTACCGTTCAATTTGAAAAAAAAAGAAATCACCATTGATTTATATTTTGTTCAAAATACAACACTGGTTCTTGATTCCACATTCGGCCTACTGGTTTCAATTTCGTACAAACACATAAAAATGTCATTGAATTTACTTTGTCATACGGATGAAGACAAACATGAAATGGAAAAATTTATTCGCTTGGAATGCTTCTTTTGTTTTTGAGAACAAAGGGTGTAAATATTCATACTTTGTACTCGTAAACGCTTGTTTTAGCATTTGATCTAATTATTGCATTTTTTTTGCTAAAAAATGGGCTGTTAGGCCTAAATAAATGTTTACCCTATTGTCAACCGACTTCAGAAAACATTTATATAAAGCTTAGAGGGGAGGACTGCGGAGGACTTCCGGAGGTAGTGCTCCTCGTGTTTATTAGCGAAATTCACATCAAAGGTTGAATAATTGCGTAGGAAATCAGTTTGGCACGGCATTTGTGACCAGCATACACCTTCCGGTCGTATGAAACAGGTCAAAAACTGTCCAAATCCACCCATAACATTTTTTGTTTTGAATTTCTGTATGGCAAAATAGTGAACTTTCCGTGAACATTAACGGCAAAGAACTCACCAACACTGGGAAACCGTGAGCTCCTGCCCACC